AACCATAACACAGTCAAAAATTATTCAAAACGTCCAAAAAAATTACTGGACATTAAAGGATTTTACCTCTTTCTAATCCAAGTTCTAACTCTTATTTTAAACCTAGCAAAAAGCTCCATTTTTTCACATCTTGTAAACTCTTTACATATGAAAATATTACAAAAATTGAGTAAAAAACAAGATTTTTCTTTCTTGGATCAAAGCCCGTAATGAGAGAAATGAGAGAGAGAGAAAGAGAGTTAGGGTTGTTTGAATGGGGATTGTTTGAATGGGAGAAATAAGATTCATCTCTCTTTTTTTCCAACTTTTCATTGTTGACATTGACAAAATTTTTGTACAATTTCTTCCATTGGGTCAAATCTCATTTAATTAAGACATGTAGGGAATTTGAATTTATCTTCAGCGGCAAATATATCTTAAATTGACATTCTTGCAATGTAAAAAAGAAAACAGAAAAAAGTGACATTTTTGTAAATGTCTTGGGAAAAATTGACATCATCTGCAATTTCCTCTTTTTTTATTTATTTTGTTTGTGTTTTCGTTTTTTGGTTTCTTTTGGATTTATTTAAGGTATGTAGGTTTTATTTCTATATATAGATGAAAATGTAGTTTGGCTCATCTTACTCTATCTAGATGAGAGGTATATTCTTATCTCTATATATACGTGAAAATCTAATTGGAGTTGTCTATTTTTTGTTGGATATGGCTATGAAGTTTATATTGTTGTTGGATGTTTGCTTTGTCGTAGAACTTTTTCTTTTTTACCACACTTATTTTACAGTGTGCTAAATGTAATTATTATTTGTTAGTTTTTAATTGAATTAATAATTTTTCGTATTTTCAAAATCAGTGGTAAATTTATTCTTCTAATGGATTCTTTACAAAAACCTACAAATGATGAGCCTGATTGTTTTGATTTTGAAACTTTATCCCAAAGCACAAATAAATCGTATAATGCTTTCATTCGTCAACAACAAAATCAAAGGCAAGTGGATAGGAGGAATCAAATTCAAACTGTAAGTATTGATCGTCGTAAGAGGATAAATGATCCAATGTTATCTAAAAATAATAGTTATGGTGTTGATTATGGGCATGAATATATAATACATTCTCATTCTGAGACTTCTACTTCGAATGAAGAGACGATTAATGTTGTTGATTCTGAATTACATGAAAGTTCTAATATGTTTAGTATACTAATTACTGCATATGTATTACTGGCGTGCACTTATTGTAAGCATTGTGGCGCACGAAAATTGTATAGAGAAACTAAAGGTTTTTGTTGCTCTAATGGAAAAGTGAAATTTTTTATGCCTGATTTACAGAATGAATTGTACGCTCTATTTATGTCTAAAGAACATGCATGTATGTAATTTAAAAAACTTGCGCATGGATATAACAACCACTTTGCTTTCACTTTATTTGGTGTAAAGTACGATAAGGAACTGTTTAAAGCATGCAAAGGTATTTACACATTTAGAGTTCAGGGACATATATATCATTATGTAAATCAACTTATGTCGGATAATAATACGTCTTCTTCTATGCAATTATATTTTTACGATACAAATAATGAACTCCAAAATCGAATGAAAACTTCAAAAAGTCTGGTAGAATCCACTTTGCTTCTTCTAATTGAAATCTTGAAGGTAAATCCAGACAGTAAATTCTTTAGGTCTCTAAGTAATATAACAGATTTGTATGAGTATAAAATACAAATAGGATGTCACCCAGGACTCGATCAAAGAGTCTTTAATACTACGTCGGCGTCTCAAGTAGCTGCCGTATGGGTTGAGGATGATGAAAACATAAATATTCGTATTCGTGATATTACTTATATGGACATTCTGGTGATTCACATAGGGTTCATTATTATTATGGTTGTTATGATCATTTGCAATACCCTTTGTTTTTCCCGTTTGGTGAATATGGTTGGCATGAAGGTGTTCACAGATATGAAAACACATCTTCTCAGCTTGCGCAGTTGGTCGACCATGTTGCTAATCCTAATATAATAAATTCTGCAGCTCAAATTATTGAAAAATATGCTAAAGATTTGTTCATGTACTCTCTTGTGTCTTTTTTATATCTCCATAGATGTGATGTTAGAAGTAAATATAAAACTTACTTCATTTTTTCCTCGTGCAGTGCCTAAGAAAACGAAGAAACGATCACAAGTATCATTTTGTGAGTACTATTCGTCCAAGTTATAGATTAGACCTTCTGGTAAGTCTGTATTGCTTCATACTCGCAGACTTTTCCAACAATATGTTGTAGATTTGTACGTTAAGATAGAGACATCCAGGTTAAATTATTTTCATAATAATCCAAAACAAATTCGTGCTAAACTTTATCAAGGTATTATAGAGAGTGTACATAAAGGAGAAACTAGAGGGTACAAAATTGGGAAAAAAAAAGTTGTTTTACGACAATCCTTAACATGTGAACCTATAGATATGCTAAGGAGGTACTCAGATGCTATGACTCTTATCCAACGTTATGAAAAATCAGATTTATTCCTAACTATAACATGTAATCCAAATTGATCAGAAATTAAGCAAGAATTAAAATACAATGATGAGGTTTATAATCGATCAGATTTGATTGTGTGTATTTAGAGCAAAATTAAAAGAACTTAAAAATGATTTGTATAAAAATGATATTTTTGGCCCTGTCATTGCTCATATATATGTGATTGAATTTTAAAAAAGAGGTCTCCCTCATGCACATCTATTATTGATTTTTAACAATAGTCATAAAATTTCTTCCATTGAACAAGTTGATAGAATAGTCTCTTGTTGAATTCCTGATAAAAATATACACCCTCATCTCCATTCTAGTATTGTAAAGCATAATATGTATGGTCCTTGTGGAAATCTTAATCCAAAAAATGTATGTATGGTGACAAATAGCGATTGTAAAAATAAATATCCGAAAGATTATTGGAATAACACAATACTTGGAGATAATTCATACCCGTTGTATAGGTGGCGTAATAATGGTATTTGTGTTAAACTGAGAGGTCAAATGTTAGACAATCAATGGGTTATACCATATAATCCTTATTTAAGTGCAAAGTTTGATTGTCATATCAATGTTAAAGTATACTCTTTTATTAAAGCTGTAAAATATTTGTACAAATATGTATACAAAGAACATGATCGTATTAATTTATTCGTTGGAAAAAATGAGAAAGACAAAGACATCGATGAAATCTCTACTTACTAATCTGCTAGATGGATATCTCCACCTGAAGTTATGTGGAGGATTTTTTCTTTCAATTTGTCAGAAATATGTCCAATTGTTTGTGCTTTACAACTTCATATTGAAGATCGTCAACATATTACTTACAAAAATACAAATGATTTATTTACTATTATTACGAATGAAAATATGAGAAGAAAAATATTAACCGAGTTTTTCCAAGTGAATAAAGTAAACAAATTTGCTCGAACACTTTTGTATCGAGATTTTCCTAAACATTTTGTTTGGAATGCAAATAACAAAATTTGGACTCCCAGAAAGAAATAGATTGTTGTAGGACGAATTGTCTCAGTAAATCTATCTGAAGTCGAACGATATTTTCTTCGCCTTCTTCTAAATCATATTAGAGGGCCAACATCATTTGATGATATAAGAACTTTCAATGGGGTAAATGTCGGTATATTTCGAGAAGCTACACTTCTACATAGTTTATTAAATAAAGACAATCGTTGTGAAGAATATTTATCCGAAGCCATTATTTATGAAATACCTTACTTTTTAAGACTTTTGTTTGCTACGCTTCTTTCTATCTACAACCCCAATAATCCAAAGTTATTATGGGATAAATTTAAGCCTTACAAGACTGGTGATTACGTACATCAAAATATGCCTATTGAAGTTGTTGAAAAATGAGCTCTGGAAAATATAAGTTCTATTTTAGAATCACTTTGTAAAAATATAAATGATTATGGAATTGTGTCGTTTAACAAAAATATAGATGACAATGAAAGATTGTTGAAAATGCTTGCAGATGAATCAACAAATTTGGATATTGAAAGAGGTTTTAGTTGTGCAGCGACATTAAATAAAAAACAACAGTTTGCTTATGATATAATTATGGAAAGAGTAGAAGCTGAATCAAGTGACACTTTTTTCATTGATGGTCCAGGCGGGACAGGTAAGACTTTTTTTGTATAGAGCACTACTAGCTGGTGTGAGTCGTCGACATTTAATTGCTTTGGCAACTGCGTCATCTGGAGTGGCTACATCTCTATTACCTGGAGGTCGAACTGCTCATTCAAGATTTAAAATCCCTTTAAAAACTAAAGGAGAAGTTAACTTCTTTGTAAGCAAACAATCGGCCTTAGGAACTTTACTGAAAATGTCAATGCTAATAATTTGGGATGAGATGCCTATGGTAAATCGTTGTACTATAAAAGTTGTAGATAAAATACTTAGAGATACTATTGATTGTAACTTACCTTTTGGTGGAAAAGTAGTAGTTTTTAGAGGAGATTTTAGACAGATTTTACCAGTTGTACCTAAAGGAAACAAAGAAGACATAGTCAAAGTAAGCCTGATTTACTCATATTTATGGCCTTTTTCGTACATTTATCATTGGTTGAAAATATGAAAGCGAAGTCCGATCCCACGTTTTGTGAATACTTACTTAGAATTGGAGATGGAATTGAACAAGAACATACTTTTAAGTGTATTAAACTACCAAATAGTATAGTTTTACTATTCGAAGATGAAATCACGTCTTTAAAACATTTGTTACGTTGTGTTTTTCCTAATATAGAAGCATATGTCGATCATTTACATACAATAGTCAATCGTGTTATTCTTATGCCTACAAATGAATCCGTGGGCTATATTAATGAACTTTTGCTTGAACAAATTCCCGGTCAAGTTTCTCGTACTATAGTTTCGATGAAGTAGTGGAGAAATCAGAACAAAGCCTACAAGAAGACTTCTTGAATACTTTGACACCAAATGATATTCCACCTCATGATATGGAACTTAAGGTGAATTGTCCTGTAATGTTATTACGGAATATCAATCATTCCGAGGGGTTATGTAACAGAACACGCCTTACTTGTCTAAAATTTGAGATAAATGTTATTTTTGCTGAAATCACAACTGGCGAATATTGTGGAAAACAAGTTTTCTTACCTAGGATCTCATTTATACCTCTTAAAACTGATCGAACTACAATTCAATTTAAAAGGATTCAGTTCCCAATTAGATCGTGCTTTGCAATGACAATAAATAAAGCCCAGGGTCAAACATTTAATTGCATAGGCTTGCATCTTCAAGAACCAATTTTTTTGCCATGGTAGTTATATGTAGCATTATCGAGAGCAAAAAAAGCAAATCTATAAAAATTCTACTGAAACCATCGAACTCAAATGATATGCACAACTTATGTACTAAAAATTGTTGTGTACAAGGAAGTTCTTTTGTCTTTACATTTATAGAACTGCAACTTTCTCATAGGTATATGTTAAATATATTGCAATTTTTCTCTTTGTCTATGACCTCCTCGATAGCTGTCCTACATGAAATGACAATTTTTTTCTAGAAAAATGGGAGCATTAGATTGTTTTAGCCAATTTTTTTCCACTGTCAATTTATTAAATTTGACATTCCATTCGGTTCAAAGTCAAAATATATGATTGTACACTTGTTCTACTGATTTTCATACTTTTTATATTGCAGCGACTATCAGCAAGAATTCAAACGAGACGAGATAGTATATCTTCTGTTTGTTATCCCAACGTTAGGTATGCTTCCATTGTTCTAACTATGTCATCCTTTAATTTCATCTTATAGATTTCATTTAAATTCATGATAGACAAATCTTCATGAAAAAAGGATCCCCTGAGCATCGTTATGATTTTTTTTTTTGTCTTTAACGTTGTGATATATATCGTGCTAATGTGGATTTCTTAAATACAACGATTGAAGTAAATGTTTTAACTATAAGCAATTGCGTGAAGAATTCAAGTCAAATGAACATCGATTTGAAAACAACGAACCCAAAAGGCAAACATAAGATGCAAAATACAGATGCTCATGTATCCACAAACATCAAACAAATCGTTGCGGCTTCAGGGAATAGACCTCTCTTCCAAACAACATCTAAACACACTAAAATAGAGTCGAACAAGGGTCGAAAAGATCTTCTATGCAATTCTTTACTGTCCTCTATATATGTGTTGGGTACACTCCAAGTTAGAGCCCAAAATTTGAACATTTTTTCCTTATACTTCAATTCTTGCTATTTTTGAAGATTTCTTTGTGTATTTATAAAACTTTTCTTAGATGGAATAATGTTACTCTTCTTGTCGTAATTAAAATTTGCAGAGAGACGTCAAAAATATTATACTAAAAGGTATATGTGTAGTTCGTTGTTGGTGGTAGTAACAACATATATTAATTAAAGAAAAATCGGCTCTCAAATTTTATTTTATTTGTTTCTTTTTTACAGTTTTATGTTGGATATTCATTTGTTATATTGGAATGAATTTACAGTCATTTTGTACGGAACATTATCTTTAGCTGAAAGTAGGAAATGCTGTAGTATTCTTTAGTTGTGCAGAATTAAAAGTTATTTAAATGTAAATAGAATATATAAACACATAAGAAAGGCAAATGAAATCAAATTGACTACTAACCAATTAGATGAACATGAACATTGTTTAGAAAATATTATCACTACATACATGAATAAGTAAAACGTAAAACAAGTTAAAATTAAAAAATTTCGTACGTGTCAAACTTTCATCAATGTGGTCTTTTTTGTAAATCAAAAATTTCAGAGGTTCTTTGTTTAGTAGTTCAAATACGCATGTATCACCCATTTGTAATTCTTTGAAGGAGAGAAAATGTGCTCATTCTATAGTAAGACAGCGTATTTCACCATTTGACCTTAAATTTGTGGTGATATCCCAATTCTGATGTAAAGAGTCGTGGATTTGAACGCTGTGCACGAATTTTAGTAAATGTTGCAAGGCAAATCTTCCCGATACATACGGCAGAACGATGAACACATTATTAGTCTTGTAGTCATAATTATAGACTGAGCACAAATGTAGACTGAAATATCAAAAAAAAAATTACAATTTTTCGATGGCTGTGTCGACGGGGTATTAACTTTACTTCAAAAATCGGACTATGCGTATTTGAATTATTGCTTTCTTCACCTTCTTCTGGAACGTCTGAGTCATATTTCACTTCTAACCCAAAATCGTCAATTATAGTTATGTTGAATGTGGAATTTTCAATATACTCAAATATCAGATAATAACCGTCATGTAAATTGTGTTGGTCGAAAAATTGCTCCCATCCTCGAGTTAGATATATTTTCCCACTAACTTCTTCTAATCCGATGGTCTCAACTATACCATCGTATGCAATTACTTTTACTATACCACCGAATTCGTGTCTCCAGTGTTTCGCAAAAGATCTAGGCATTATCTATGTATATACATAAGAAAAATATGTGTAATATATTAGTAAAAAAATATTATAGTACCAAAAAAATATATTATTGTATGACTAATCAGACTGATATCGTGATTTAGTGAATTACTGATGTTTATGTAAAGACGACGTGGAACGTCCATTTTGAAATGCTGCAGTAGAATAATTTTGACAAAAATAATATATATATAATTTTTTTTTAAATTTTATGAATAGGTAAGTTTTTATAATATTATAGCAAGAAGAATAACAAATCATGTGCATCTACATTTTTTTGGTAAAAGTCAGTCAATCCTTGAACAAATTATAACTTAAAACTACAAAATTCTAGTTGAGTAAATAGATAAGGACATGTTTGAGTGAAGCACCAGCAAGCCTGAAGTAAGAAATGAAAATTTGAAAGACGAAAAATTGATGTAAGTAAATATCGAAAACAGAAGAAACTATATAGGACAAATAAAATATACTTTTTCTTTCTATTTAGATTTGAAAAGAGACTCATGGAGAGTAAAAATAGACAAATTATTACTGAAACATGTTCACTAATTGCAAAAAAGACAAATTATTATCGAAAATAACTGATCTTACTCTACCCAAAAACTACTATTACAGAAGAAAGAAATTATTGAATCACGTGACAACCTACTTAATATCATGCATTTGAATAAATTATTTTCTTGTATATAAAAAAAAGTTATATTTGTGACAAGTTAAATTTTGTGCATAACTTATAGGTAAAAAAATATTAATTCCTCCTTCTCTTATAGCAAAAGGTACTTACAAATAAAAAAATATTAACTTAAAAAAATTTTAAGTATAAATATTTAGATATATTTAGTTTTCAAAATTAAATATATTAATAAAAAAATGATACTATGTAGAATGTAAAAAGTTAAGTATAAGTAAAAAAAAGTTAGAGTTTTTTAAAAATAATAAAAAAAACTTACAATTATCCGAACTACTTATAGATAAATAAAAATATTAACGCAAACATTTTCAACTTAAAATTTTAAAATTAATTAATAACAAACAAATGACAAAAAGAAAAAAAAATTAAACGTAAACAAATTTATTCTGTGCACGGAGTGTTAAATCAATTCCTTTTTTTTTCCTAGCATTATTATTATTATAGTAAATTTTTTTTTATTATCCAATCTTTTTAAATTAAATATAGCTAAATTTTTACTTAATAATGTTGAAATTTTTTTATCCATAAGTAGCTTTTACAATTATAAGTATTCTTATTAATACTTTTAAATAACTTGTTGTAATTTTTTTTTACTAACTTTTTACATTCTAGATAAAGTCCTTTTTTTATTAATATTTAATTTAAACAAATAAATATATCTAAATATTTATACTTAACAAGTTTTTAAGTTAATATTTTTCACGTATAAGTAGCTTTTGCAATTGTAAGAGAAGGCGGGATTAATTTTTTTTTAACTATAAGTAGCTTTTACAATTATAAGTTTTTGTAATTACTTTTAAATTACTTTAAGTGCTTCTTTTACTTATAAGTCATTTTTTAAGGTGTAATCTTTTTATTATTATTTAATTTACTAAACTAACTATATCTAAATGTGTATACTTATAATTCGTGTAAGTAAATATCAAAAATACAAGAATCTATAGCTATATGAAATTTACTTTTCTTTCCTATTTAAATTTGACAAGAGGTTCGCGGATAGTGAAAATAGAGAAATCATTACTGAAACAGGTTCACGAATTGCAAAAGTAGACACGTTTTTATATTACTGAAAAGAACTGATCTCACTTTTCCCAAAAACAAGTATTACAGAAAAAAGAAATTATTGAAGCATGTAACCACCTACTTAATATATAGTGTTTCTATACATATTTTTATTGAAGCACGTGACCATCAAAATAATTTTTTCTGTCACATGAAAGCATGTAGGATAGACTGGAAACAATATTTAATAATCATTTCACTATTTTTACGTGCCATTTCACTGCAATCGTCGCCTCAACTGCGATATTTTTCCATTTTCACGTGTGACTTCACTTCATCCAACTCAATATTTAATAATTCAATTCAATCAATATTATAAAGAATAGAAACTAAAAGATTAAGTCAAAAATAGAAAACAATTATTATACAGTTTTGAAATTAAATTGACATAATTACAATTCTAAACTTATGATTCCATCAAAAGGACAAATTATGAATGAAAATTTTAGGTATGATATATTGTCTAGATATGAATTCTTCTTCTTTTTACGGTTTCTTTTCCTTCGTTACATCATTTTAACATGAATATTTGATAATCTGAAAATATCGACGAGTTATAGACATCTACCAAAAATATGTAACACTTTAATAGAGTATATTCTGATTAATCATTGACATACTCCATTACAATCAGTGAATTACATTACAGTACAATTAGGGAGACTAACAGGGATGAAGAAAATATTCATTATTACATATATCAACTGCAATTTTCCGTCTATATATAGTCATCCTATCTGGTGAGAAGGATTCCAATGGATGCCCCAGAACAATGCATTCTATATATTAAAGCACAAAGACTTCACAATTCGGCCTGTAAAAGAAATATTTTATGTTGTACTAAATTATTACATACAAATAATTATACGCTATATTAAATAAGAAATTTTTAAGCGCTTACCCGTTGTTTGCACAGGGTAGATATTGTATGATCTCTTGCTTCATATCTTTATTTCTATGTTTCCTTTTATCTCATCTCACAGCAAAAGCTTTGTCGAGCAATAAAAAATTGACCACGGTAAGTGTTACATTCGCATGTGTCTTCACTTGATCTGGTGGATGCTCATTATGATTGTAGTCATATATCTGGAATTTTCACTCCGAAATATTGATTAAAAAAAGGTACCAAGTATTCCCCGGATATGAGCATAGAATTAATAAGTAGTTACGCCCTACCCATAGACGACTCTCTATGGGCAATTGACCGTTGGCATATTGGTTTAGAACAGTTTCATCTAGTACACCTTTTTTAGTTCCCGCGGCATAACCCCCTTGCCAAATTAGCGTATTAGTACACTCATTTTCAAATTTAAAGTCTATGATGGCATATTCTTTAGACACGAGGGTTCAACCATCATTAATGAGTCGCCTCAAGAACTTCAACTCCAACTCAATTGCCTGATGGAATAAATAGATACAAATTTAATATGTTAGGTATAGAATGAAATTAAATTAATACCTAAACTTTACTCACCACAACATTTATATTTGTTATTTGATCCAATAAATTTTTCAACCTATCTGTTCCATACATGTTCCCAACACTTTCTTCCAATAATGCACTGCATATAATTACCTTAGAATTAGTGTTGAATAAATCAAAATTATATTTGACTATTTGAGCCAGTAATAAAGAATTGTCTCGGTTACCTTGGTTCATTGTTCACTATCCAGATTCTAAGTGCCTTGTACTTTTTTATAAAATAGTCTTTCAAAGGACGTCTTGTAGATGACGAAGTTTGTATTTGTTTTCCCTTCTTTTTCCTCTTTCTTTGCAGCGTTTCAACACTTTCAACCTGTTGAGACGTTGAAGTATCATTTGGTTAATCATTGGGAATTGGATCTCTACCAATAGGAACGTTCTATTGCGTACAACTTATAATGGCTTCCATATTTGATCATCAGTCATAAAACTTTTGCAGCGTATTCTTATTTTGTTCATCAACATAATATCGCATGGAATCTAGACTGGTATCCACATAAGAGTGCATGGTCTGGTAATGATCTTCTTGCCATTTTTATTGTTGTTGGAATAATTGTTTGCCTTTCTCTAACTGTTTGTTAAAGAAACTTGACAATGAAGTGTCCATTAGGAACACAAGTTAGATTGCCGGTGATCTTCTTGCCATTTTTTGTATTGTTCGAAGAGCTGTCTCTGGTTGTCGTAAATTTCTGTTCCTTAAATTGCCACATATATCGTACACATTTTGTATTATATCTTTCTTTTGGAGACCCAACAGTTCTATCATTCAGTCTTCAGTTACATAATTGGACGTGTTGAATCCCGAAGTAGGCTTGACTACTGGTGAAGTTCTTGAGGTACTAGGAATGGTCGTCTCTTGCCCATATATATATTATCCCTCTCTTGCTCATAAGTGTTGTCGAGAATTTGTTGTGCCACATTATCCAATTGTCCATTGATAATGACATCTAATACACTATGTTGATTCTCACCAGGCAGTCAAAGATTTATGTACCAAGGTGTTTCCAATTCTTCTTCAATAGGGTGTAACACTGCAATCACTTGAATCTGTAATTGTAATAAAATATCAGAATCATTTTATTAGATTTTCTTTTGAAATAATTAAATACAAATGTAATTATACATTCACTAAACAAATCATACATCTTGAGTAGCCAGAAAATGCTTAACCATTGTTTTAGTCAAAATTTTATTGGGCCTCCACTTATACATTCTCGAATTTTGCACTGTTTTATATCGATGACGTCCAATTTTTTTTCCAATTTTTAGAAATGCCTCGTATATCCAATACTGCAACGCAATTACAAATTACAAATATTATTTTTTGACAAATAAATTAAGCTAATAGACGAATAAAAAAATACAAAAAATATACCTGGAATGCAAGTGGATACCCTCGTAGTCCATACTTGCAATCTGTTTGTTCGTTCTGTTGTACTCTTTCTAACTGGGATTGTTGTAGTGAATTTAAGAAAACAAAGTATACTTTTCGACCCCATGGATATGCAAGAAATTCATCGAGGTGTTCGACCATGCCAAGAGTTTTATAATCAATAATTCTTACAACTGGTTTCATAACATACTCCATCAACATAACTAATCATAGCTTAAATTATCTAGTTAGTTCTGACATTGATGGAAAACTTCAAAGAGCATTCTCATGCTAATTCTTTGACTATCACGAAAGTATTGATTTCTAAGACGATTGTTATTATAATCAATCTCCATGACAGGTTCAAGGTAATCCAGTGATAAAACAAAATTCTTGCATATTAAACCTAGCAATACGATCTTTTAATCTTACTCAAACTTCATTATTCTTGCCACAATGTACAAGCCGCAAACAAATTCATGTACCAATCTACTATTAAATTGCTCATCTCCTCCTCCATAAAAAAAAAAAACCCCCCCAAAAAAAAAAAAAAAAAAAAAAAAAAAAACTCCGTACATGAATCCGACAAAATTACTGGACATTACAGAGCATTGATGATTTGAATCTATAAAGTCCATAAAATCTTTAAGGTACTCACGATTTGGATATTGAGTGATAGTCACTAAAAACTATTGATTTGGAGAAAGTATATATTCCAAAAATATCTGCATAAATAATTCAAAAAAATGTAAACAAATTTAAGAAATTCTAAAATAGAGAACGTATAACATTGTACTTAATTAATCAATGCAACAACGCACATCCCAATAACAAAATCAATCACACGAAGACACTATCGAACAAAATATTGCATCGAAATTTAATGTAGGATAGGAACATCTTTAAAGTAAAGATAGAAAACAATACTATAATAGCAATTTCAATAAAAAAAAAAAAAAAAAACCTCTCTATTTCTCAAATGAATACAATCCTATCATTTACGAGTTTTAAAATTAAATTTATAGGACCACAATAAAAGGGTAACTTTTCTATATGTAATTGATTGACCGGAGCATAAATCTTTGTTCAAACAAAGAACCAAACAAAAAGGCAAAAAAAGGGTTCATGTAGCCAACTCTGAATTTATTGGGAATGAAACTTAGTTATGTTGTTGTTTGGGTTACATAGTGGTCAAAATGGAATATTCAATCCTTTGTTTCCATGTGACAAGCAATCCCTTACGACTTATTCCATCTCAAAGTTGGAGAAAACAAGTTACAACACTCTATTCCCTCTAGCCCAATCTTGTTGAGCAAAATTTTTCTACTGACAATTTAAGTATTGATACACTTATAGTATATGTCATATTATCATCGTTTCTTAAGTTAAACAAACAATGCAAGAGAGACAATAGTAATAAACACTTCAAAGCTTCAAACATTTCGAAACTTGATTAGAACCAATCAACATACATAGCTAATTTACTAGAAAATCAAGGGATGTAGAAGGAGCTCTTCACATTCAAAACTCACCCATGTTTTTTCCCAAATTTTAAAGAACAATGAAACCATATAGATCACTTTTAGTAAACTGCCCAAAGATAAATTTAAAGATGTCATTTTTTTAAATAAATCATAACTCATTTTACAAAAAAAAAAAAAAAATTCTTTGAGTTCAATAAATAACATCCATATTTAATCTGTACACGCATAACATGATCCAAAACTGCCTTGCAATAAATACTATAAAATTTAGCTCTTCATATTAACATTTTTATGACTTAGGGGACATGTGCAAGCATGCTTATAAATTCATGGACGAACCACATAAATAAAACAGTTTTGACTATATTTGCATCATTCTTACATTTTATTGGAAATAGCGATATAATTCATACAGTCACGTCATAAAATACAAAAATATACAGAATTAGCCCTCCGTGCACGAAGGGATGTTGTCCCCGTGCATCCCTCCATGCACGGAGGGCTTTGCCACCATGCACGGAGGCTACGTTTCTGGGGATAGGACCATAGGCATCCATGCACGGCTGCAGGGCTCTGTAAAAGGCCGTCGTGCACGGAGGGAGGAGACAATTTTTTGACCACATCGCACGGTGGCCTTCACCTAAGTAATGAAATAAATTTTGCAACTAACTACTTACCTTTGGGTGGTGATTTCTTCTTCTTACAATTTGAAATCTAGGTTTTGAGATGAAAGATTTGAGACCTAGGTTTTGAGATAGAGAAAGAGATAAGGATAAGAATGAAATAAAAAAGATTGAAATAAAAATAAATATATATGTGTGGTTGTAAAAGGCTTTGTAAATAAATAATTTATACTTTATTTTACTTGTTTTATTATTTATTATACATGTATACATTTATATATTTACATATTATTTAAATCAAATGAATTAATTTGTAGCTTTTTTTTCCTTAAACGGTACATTTTTTTCGATGTAATTTATACTGGAATATAAGCTATTCCTCTGCTATAGTAAAATTTTACTTTTCAATATCTATTCGATAATTTACTAAGTGTTTTACTAACTCAATTATTCCATGGACACCATTTGCATACTATTTTAAGTAGTTCCCATATCTTATGCCTATTCCAAACTTTTACGTTTATTATTTATATATAATATATATAACAAAGTAATAAGAATTAAGAAAATGCTCCTCAATTCTATTGCAGCCGTTCTTGTACTATAAATAAAATTTAGAGTAATTTCCATTTCTTATGTCAGTGATTAGACAGTAAGGCATGGCTATATAGACAAGAAGGTATGGCTATTGATAAGGTTTTACTATGTAAATAATTTTATTAGTTTTAAACATTAAACAAAAAACTATTCAGTTTGTATTGAGTCTTTATGCCATCTACACGTTCTTTTTTTAAAACCGATGAAATTGACATATGGACACATTAATACTTTCACCTCATCCTTCCAACATCACGTCTCCAAAATTAAAATACTTTTTAAACCATTACGTCTCAATTTGAAATTTTATATACAGGCTAACACAATGCTTCAACTTCACATCTACGAAAATAAAGAGATTATCATTACCATTTATAGCTTCCATATTGTAACATATTCTAACTTGTATTCACACAACCTTCTTCTTCTCCCTCCATATTAACTACTATCTTACATTTATTGCTATATTTATCTACGGATAAAAAAATGACTGCACCTCATAAATTCATACCACAAATTTCAGTTTTGGAAACTAATTTGTCAGCAAAAGTTATCGTGGCAGAAAATAATCCCCAAAGACTGCTAGGAATTCCAATAGCCATTACCAAAATCTTACTCTCATGGATTTAGAGGTATATATATTTTTCGTTCCAATAATTTTCTGCCTATTACTATACCTATGTGTTTCGTAAATATCTTCATACTTTTCTAATGTTCATCGGGGAGACAGAGTGAAAGTAATAATGTACGATGCCAATATCACTGCACTAAAGGATGACTTCCAACTTGGAAAAACATACATTGTCTCAAACGCAACCGTTAAAGATTTTAAAAGTGAATTTCGGAGTTCTCCCGATCAAAAAATTTGGAATATAACAGGCAGAACAAAGGTTAAGGAATTAAATGAAGATAACTTAAATCTCTTATTCTCAAAATATGAACTCACTCCATTTGATCAACTGGAGAGACATATGGACAAGAATACAGACATAAATAAGATTTCTAACATATTCAACTTAAACTAATCATTTCATATAATGTTTAATAGTTTATTTTTTACGTTCAAATTTATTAATGCAAAAATACAATAAAAAAACACTTTACGTGACCTTCTCATAGGTTTGATGGGTGTCACTATAGCTATTCGACATAAACGACTTATTCAAATTAACTTTGGTACGCAAGCCTATCTACAAGATGTTAGAGAATTTTGGGTAGGGCAACTTGGATACCACGAAGTTGAGAAGTTGAATTTTGTAAGTTTAAATTGAAATATCAGCTTGTCAATTTTCTAAAATTGAATATAAAACGTATAATTGATAAATATCAAATTGTGGTGGTTGATGGGAAAATACCAAGTTTAGTGGCAACACTTCAAGTGCGAGGGCCAAATCTCAAGAATTGCCCAGATACTTGCCATTTGCATATGAAACTAGAGAGTTGCCCAATGAAATGCCAGTTGCGCACCAAAGAAAAAACAAATTATGCTTACACAAAATACACACACACACACACACACACACACATATATATATAATTAAAAAAAAAAATTTGCCCCTAGGCGAAAAGAATGATTTGCAAACTAGACTGCGAAGAAGATAAAAATGCTTCTCCAAAAAAAAAAAAAAAAAAAAAAAAAAATGAAAATTAAACATATGGAAATTAAATCATAAAATATATGAAGTTTATTATTTAATTTCGCACTATTTATTAGATTTAAATTGCCAGAGAATATGGCGAACAACAGACTGATTGATCAAATAAATAATTACAACAATATATGCAAAAGGCAAAAAGACGGAGTTTTCTTGGTTGCAGGAGAATGGCTAGTTTTGAATTGCAAATTATGCTTCCAAGTAACCCTTTGCCTCCAAGTATGAAATCACTACTTCGGCCAAATGAGTTGGAGAATCACACTTCTCTTCTCTTTGATGTAACACTATCTGCAACATGGTAACTCAACAGCATCATGGGCTGACAAAGCATTAAATCGTGCACGACTAATTTTGTTTCCTTAACAATGTCCAATATTACCCAATTATCTACGTCAAACATAATGTAATGCTCAAGCATTCTTGGCAATGCAGCTATCCAAAAGGACGGTTTAATTCTTTTCTTCGTAGATTGAACAATTCCAAAATAGAAGAGCCTCGTTCCACATGCCAACTCAACAGGGTAGAAGATGCTAAATGTTACATTTCAAGCTAAATATATTTGTGGCATCAAGAACACATAAGATCATGTATTACATGATCATTCTAGAACAAGTTCGACCAAAATGCGCTTCTAGTTTTAGCTAAATGGAAAGAATACCTCAGAATTTAGTGGTGGCTCGTATGGATCATCAATGCCTGTGAAACCTGAAATAACAGAAAATTAAATCAACTTTAAGCAAATAAAGAACTCTACACACAAATCAGAATGGAGATGCAAGGGAGTGGAGGAATATGAAATTCACAACTTCCAATGGATGATAGAGCAAAGAAATGACATGTTAAGCCAGAACTTTGCCTTCTGAAGCCCCAACTCTCAAAAGGTACAAGTCAATCTATGCAGCCATTGTAACATGAAAAAAGTGAATTCACATTGGTGGGTAGCATTGGCAGCTAATGGCTGCTTGGTGAGCAGATCAGGAGGGCAAGATGTTTGAAGCTAATTATTGATTCTTAAGTAGAAAATATTTATGCAGTTTAAAAATAGAAAAGAAGCATATCCAATCATGGTCATGCCAAAAATACAAGTAAATAGATGGTAATGGAAAAATTAAAAAGACTAGGTTTCCAAATCTCAATCACCAGCTAAGGAGGCAAGAAATACCTTTGATTTTTCCAGCTCGTGCAAGCTTGTACAACCCCTTTGGATCCCTTGCCTCACACACTTGTAGAGGTACATCCATGAATACCTACATAATTCAAGAATTTTCAATTGACGAATTGGAACAAACACATATACAAAATGCTGAAGAAAACTCAAATTTCCAATACTGAAAAAAATTCAAATTTCACACATCAAATTTTCCAACATCAGAGTATGGGATAAAGTTCTGTTGAGTTGAGAAACACTAACCTCGACAAAGTCTCCTTTTGGCAGTAGAGCTCGACAGGCATCTCGATCCTTCCTGTAGGGTGATATCAAACTTGCAATACAAATAACTCCAGCATCAGCAAAGAGCTTAGCTACTTCTCCTGTGTTGGATAAAATAACAAGCGGAAAATCTTAAACTGCGAACAAAGGAGGGGTTTTTCTTTTCATTTTTTTTTTTAATTTTTATTTTTGGGAAAGAATAATCATATCAGGCACCAGAAAATAAACCAACCAATCCTTCTGATATTCTCTGCTCGATCTTCAGCTTTAAAACTAAGATCGCTGTTTAGCCCGTGCCGAACATTATCTCCATCAAGGATATAGGTTAGCTTTCCTCTAGCATGTAGGCCACGACTTAAAGCACATGCCAAAGTGCTCTTTCCTGAAATAAAGTTCAAGGACTAATAATTATATGTGCCGATGATCTGGACTGTTGATTTATAGATTGGCAGTGAATGGCAGGTTTGAAGGCTAAGACGGGATTAAGGTATTCGGTAAAAAGGATAAAATGGAAAAACAAACAATATCAGAAGGATAGGAGCAGAATTTAACTGATTACTTGTGAATTACCAAAGCATGATAAGGTTCCCTTGAACACATAAAAAATAAAAGAAAGAAACAATAAATCAAGAAACTAAGATTAACAGAGCCATACTGTGTTACAGACAGAATGGAGAAGCAAATGCAATTGCAAAACAAAAATGGGGAAAAAACTAATTGATTAATAAGTTTTTACTGAATGCTTTCACAACTGGCATAATTTTATTCATGATCGTAAAATGAAAAACTTATATTGATCCCACAGGGAACAATTCTGAATTGCGTTTGATAAATGAAGATAAAGGAAAAAAAAAACTTTTCCAGCACTTGATTTTGGCCATCTCTCTTCAGCATTTCATTTTCAGTTAGCAGTTATAATATCACTGATACTTCATGTGACCATGCTTGCATATACCACTCTAAGAAATTTATTCAGCAAACTTGGGTAATATATCATTCACAACTATAATTTAAATAAGAACTCTAAGTCTATATCTGAATTTAACCTTCAAAGACGAAAACCGCAGCCAACTGTTTTTTGAATTGCAATTCAAGTAATCTCTATGTTTTACTCAAACCACCTTAAAAAAGAATCTAGGTTTATATTTCATAATCTAATACCTGGTTTACCCGTTGTCGAAAATAATTCGGCTATAAACAAACTAGCGGCATTCGTTTGCTATTTGGAGGTGCATGAGTTTCAGGTTTCTTAACAAAACCTGACCACACCTAATGAAAATGACAAGCACAGAATCCTATAAAGGCAACTTTAATCACAAAAGAGTTTCTACTATATTGTGGAAAGTCTCCTTTTAATTGTAAAAACCGTAAAAATCCCCTTCCTGCAAAAGGAAAAAAAATGAAAATTGTGTTATCCCATGATCAGTCTCTTGTATTCTTTAAGCCACAGTGTCTCTCTTGAACAATGAGAGCATGTTTGTTCTCATTATTAGATAGAATTGAATAGTACAACAAAGTTCTTTCTGACTTCGTTCAGTACTGTGTACCTAATATGCTCAAAAGGAAGCTGTGATCGCATCAAAATTAGCCACTGGCTGTCAAAGTGTATGGAAAGATCAAGAAAACTCCAGAAAATCACAAATATAGAAAATTAATGAATGTTGAACAGCTCAAAGGCCTGAGCAACAATTGATTTGGGAAGCTAATACTAATTACATAAACTGCTGTTCCTGTTATACAAACCTGAACCACTGAGTCCAGTGATCCAAATTACACAGCCTTTTTGTTTAAGCAATTCCTGCCTGTCACTCTTTTCTACAGAACATTTATGCCATTGAATATTGGTCGAATTTCCAACTGTTGACATCTTGGGCGTACTTTTACCTAGTCAACAGGTATTCAGCATCATTAGAATCTAAACAAATCCGGAAAAAAAAAAATCTCCCTCCATAAGAAAATTTGAACATAAAAGGGCAGAAAAATAACCTGGGAAACCATCACAATCCGTTGTCAAGAAATCATCAATAGCATTGCAACCGCCATTGACGTCCGATGTCGTTTTGGAAGCATCCATTGCCTTTATAGGCTCCAAAAAATTCGATCTCGTATCTCCTCCGGAAATCCTCAATTTTTTACACGTAAAATTAAACACCGACACCTTTACAGGCCTCAACTTCGCACATAGCGCCTCGGAATATTCCAAATCTAACGATTTACACAAACTCAATGATCGAATTCCAACTGAGGCCATTTTTTTTATTTACTTTCTATGATAAATAATTCAGAACCCACTTGATGTTCGAAAAAATAATAAAAATCCAGAACACCCCTCCGCGAACTATAACTAGAAAAAATTGTCTGAAATATATTAAGAAGACAGCGTGGGAAAGCGCGAAAAATGGCGAGACAGAGACATTGTGTGATGAGCCCGTACAGTCCAAAAATGCAAGTGGTGATATATATAGAGAGGAGGGATAGAGATTGGGGTTAAAATTGAAATCTATAGTTGGATTTCTACACTAGGCTTATTCAAGAGTAATTAATTATATTACCATTAAATGCATCATAAATTTTTTTTTTTTTATTTTCTGAAATAGCCTTAAGTAAAATTACTAATTAGGGAAATGCAATTGAAGAGTTATTTATTTTTTTTCAAATTTAATTTTGTTGTATTAAGAGTATAATTATAAATTTATTGTGTTGTATTTATTGAAATTATATTTTAATTGTAATGTTGTGTAGTCCCACTGAATTTGGAACCATAGTTTAAGTAGCGGTAAATGATAAATTAAATGAAATGTTATTATTTAATGATACATTAACATCACCTAGATTGTGGACTAAATAGCATTATTCGTGATTATAATGTGATGTGCTAATTAAATTTTGTCATTGTACCTTTTGTTCAAATTGTTTTGGGCACTAAGATGGGAAAATCTGAATGAATAGGGGCCTGTCACGGCCCATGTGAAATAGGTGCCCCCTAATCCTTATTAGAATGGGAGTTAGTTTTGGATGACAACCCTCTGAACGTCCAAGGGGTTGTCATGGTGACTTTAGCCTTGGAGCGGGCACCGTTCCTATAGGAGGGCGTCCTATCTTAGGGGCCGTAACACACCCCTATTCGTGTAGCCCAACCCTACTTAGATACCAAAAGATTGAGATTCAACATTCTAAGGGCTACAGATTCGGGATAAGATGTTGGAGATGTTTTTACAGTCTTTTGCTGCTTTCGTATATATATTTTTACATATTGTCAGTAAATTTTGTGAAAATTTTCAAGTTGGTCATTAAAATATTTTTCTAACTCATTTAGTCTCTAAGTTTATAATATACTCCACATTAATCATTCTGTTAGGAAATTAAATGTATAATCACATGTGTTACCGAATAGATTCCAAGTTGGCCCTAGTGAAAACCTAGTATAATCTTAGGTTCCTATTTGATTTAGCTAAAAATCTATATTAAAATACAAGTTAAAATCAACAATTAATTTTAAACTTTTAATTCTGTTTTTAGATCTTGATATTCGATCTTTAAACTTTCAACTCTCGTATCTTATTTGTTATTCTTTTAAACGCAACGAAGAAAAAATCAAGAGAGCATAATCTCTCTCTCTCTCTCTCTGGACAACCAAGATGTGTTAATAGTGTAATCTTGTTCCAATCAATCTTTGAGAGTATTTGACACCTATTTTTATGGAAAAATGAATTTTAGAATAGTAAATTGATGAAAAATGTGTAGATGAAAAATAAGAATTTTTTTTATTTACGTGTAATATTATTCTATTGAAGAATGTGTGCTTAAAAAGAAAATAAAGAAAATGTGTTTTGATAAAATGAGAATCAAACGGGGCATTTATTTTATACTTCTGTTCTTTTTTAACATATAGACCCTGAATTATCGTTACTTCAACAATATAGTTCACAGCATTTACTCAGACTACTGAGGGTGATCAATTAGGACTTTCGAAAACTCTAATGAATATTTTTAAGTGATGATTTTTGGGGATCTTTGTGGATCTTTTTAATATATGTATGGAATTAGTGGAAGCCTTTTGTAGATTTCATTGACTTTTATTTTAAAATTTTTATAGACTTTTATAGAATTCAAAAGAGTTATGAAAATTTTCATTTGAAATAGAATATACATGAATCTAGTACAAATGGTTTGAAATTCCCACATACGAGGTATTGGTTCTAACAATTCCCCATTTTCCTTCCCCTTCATCTTCCCATATAATGAAAAAAATTAAAAGAATAAAAATTTAATACATTAATTAAATAAATAATAATCAAAATTATACGTATGTATGATAAACAATAAATTTAATATTCAATATTATTAATATAATATATTTAAATTTAATTATAAAATTTTACATTTTATTTAAAAAAAAGAAAGATATTTTTCACAAAAAATGAATGAAAAAAAGTTACAAGAATCAAATTTAATTTTTTCATAGAAAATAGAAATAAACAATAAGAGAGAGAGAAAGGTAAATGGAAATAAATATAATCAATAGAAAAATATAAATTTTAATCATACCTATTCGTGGGGGGAAAAAAACATTTTTTTTTTGACAATCTTTCAAAATCTCTTGATTAATAAGCAACAAATTTTATAATTTTATAGGAGTACTTTCTGTTTAAAAGTTAGCACTTCAGAGACTTTTATAATAGTCTCTATAAGCCATAAAAATTTGAATACCTCGTAAAGACTTCTAAAAAGTTTTAATTGAATACTTCATAACTCTTAGAGACTTTTTAGAAGTATATAAAAGTCTCAATTGGATACGCAGTGACTTTTAGAGACTTCTCAAAATTTTATAAAAGTTTCAATTGAATACATCAATACTTTTAAAGGGTTTTAAAAAGTCTAAATTGAATACCTCTATACTTTTAAAATCCCAAAAAGTCATTAAAATTTCAATTGAATACACCTCCTAAATAAACCTAATCAAACTTATATAATCTGTATTAAATAATTATTTATGGTCAAGTCAATTTGAGGAAGAGCAAACCTTTTTTTTTTTTTTTTGGGTCAAAGGGCTATTCTATTACAAAAGAAGTTATGGACTCGGAATGCTCGGTATAATTATTAACTTTTGCATCTTCCATTATGAACGGGATCGTGAACTTATATGATTAGAAAAATCACAAAAGTAACATAAATTAATTTTCTACAAACTTTTAAAATTCCAAAAGGTCATTAAAATCTCAATTGAATACACCTCCTAAATAAACCTGATCAAACTTATATAATCTCTATTATATGATTATTTATAGTCAAGTCAATTTGAGAATGCTCGGTAAAATTATTAGCTTTTGCTTCTTCCACCATGAACAAGATCATGAACTTATATGATGTAGAAAAATCACAAAAGTAATATAAATTAATTTTCTACAATTCATATCCTCTCGACTTGTCATCTATATGTATTATTGATTGTCAAACGTTGAATAATTAGATCAAGGTGAAATTACCATTTGCCCATGTAGTTATTTTCTCGCTTATGGCTCACATTTTCTTAATCTATTTCTTCGTGATACAATCATAAAATTAATAATTTGGACAACCCCGAGTATTGAGCTTGGGTTTCAACTATTCTTTGAAGAAAATATCAAGTTGACTTTATTTAACTTCGAACATAGACGTTGATATCGAACTCGAATATCTGCTCACTACTTTAGTTCCTATTAATTCCCAACATATCGAGATATTGATCATAATTGAATGATCTTTTCATTAACATATCAAAAAAGTAACGAATTTAGGTAATACCTAAGATGGTTAACTGTGATTGGTTTATTTAGCAAGAACACCATAAATTAATCAACGCGTTATTTTGTTTTATTCAATACACATACGGGTGTATATTATTATTAATCCCAAACGTCTCCACAGCCAAGATAAAAATGTGGACTGCAATTGTTAGAATACCATCTGTTACGCCCTATTCGAACCACTTCGGAAAGTCCACCACCACGTCATGCGAGGTGTGGAACGCTCATTCGAAATGGTTCTAAAGTGACTTCATCAATGATGACAATCTGCTATCACACTACAAGACATAGACAAGCGCCCTCGCCCCTGAATCCGAGGCGAAATGCATTCAGGGGACCTCTGTCAGAGGATCTGTTGCCAATTTCAGAATGAGATCTTTGTTAAGATCTTTTCTGCCCCTAAGGATTAAAATTATTAGACGTCTCAATGAGGCTAGTTGATGTGACGTATCAACTTTATGTCAACTCAACTTGGGAGAAGTAATTACCCGCCCACTCTATAGATGCGGCTGATTGACGCCTATGAGCAGACGCCTCATACCGTCAGATGTGTACACGTGTCCGCATCCAACGGTTCTTATCACCTATAAATACTCAAGGCTTGGCAAGAGGCAAAGGTAATGAAACTCTTACTACTTAGCACTCCATAACAAGCAACTAAATATATTATTCTCCCCATTATTTTGCACAAACCTTGGTACTATTCCGATCCCCTGAGCTTAACTTGACCGTCGGAGTGTATACGGTAGTCGCCACCCCCGCTGGTTCTGGCCGTGTGCATCTGACCGTTTACTGATTGTGTGTAGGGAGGAATACGTGAAGTGACTATCGATTGGTCACGTGGAGGGTCCAATTTTCGAGGTCAACAGGTTGGCGCCGTCTGTGGAAAACTTCCCATTCAAAGTTCTGCATTCTCCACCGGAGAAATCACCGGAAAACTAGCGACTTATCCTGAAAAGGGCACGTTCTTGAAAAAGAACAAAGTCGAATTATAATCCAAATTCTCATCACCCTAGAAAAAGGAGATAGAATGAGTTCCAGCCATGAAGACGACAACCCCATGAGAGAGGCCTCTGAAGAAGAGGTGCTCCATAACAATGTCACTCACTAGAGACCCCATCACCGGCGTCGCCGAGGTGAAAGAACAGCCATGCTCACTGAAGGAATGACTCAAATAGCTGCGGGAATAAGAGACATCACAGTTCAGAATATGGCGATGCATGAACTTCTCATGCAAGCCCAAGGTCACCAGGGCTCTCAAATGCCCCAAGGATCTTATCCAGTGCAGAAAGCCCCTATATCTCATTCCCGAGGCCATATGAGTCAGCACAGAGAACGCTCCCTCAAAAGAGAAGTGGGTGCGGAAGCCACATCTTATGTGCAAGGGAGCCAGCCAGCAGAACCACAGCTAGGGGACAATTTTCCTCAAGAATGTGAGGAACAAAGGTCAGTAAGCGTCTCCGACCGAATAAGACAGGACCCTAGCAATATGGTCCACTCAGTGCGAAGATCAGTTCGGTAAAACCAGGAGCAAGAACGGGCACATCCTCCTCCTAGAAATAGGAGGGATAGAAGGAATCTAGTCGATTGGGGGAGCCGAGGAGAAGCACCTCCACCTCCCCAGGATATTCAAGATGATGAAGGGTCAGATGGGCCTTCTCAGTCTTATGAAATCGACGATGA